GTGTACATCTTTCCATTATCCAGTCACTTTCCCCATGTCCCCCAGGCTCCGTGAGTGCCACACAGTGGGGAGGGGGTGGGGGCCATCATGTCGTCGTATCAGAAGGAACTGGAGAAATACAGAGACATAGATGAAGATGAGATCCTAAGGACCCTGAGCCCCAAGGAGCTAGAGCAGCTGGACTGCGAGCTACAGGAGATGGACCCCGAGGTAGGGGCCCTAGCACAGGGAACCAGGGGCAGTTCCCAGGCATTTGGGAAGGGTGAGGGGCCCTGGGTGGCTAAGATCGGGGCAGCCTACAGGGCTTGGAGTCCCAAGGGGGCCAGGGAAAGGGTGTCTGTAGATGTTTTAGGGAGCCCAGATCGGAGAAGAGGTCCGACTTGCTCCCCAAAACTCATCCCTCAGAACATGCTCCTGCCAGCTGGACTAAGACAACGTGACCAGACAAAGAAGAGTCCAACGGGGCCGCTGGACCGGGATGCCCTTTTGCAGTACCTAGAGCAGCAGGCACTAGAGGTCAAAGAGCGTGATGACCTGGTGCCCTTCACAGGCGAGAAGAAAGGTATGGAGACCCTAACAACCATGCCTACCAAAACCCAAATGGTTGTCTCTCAAATGTACCCCCTCCAGCTTCCCTCTCCCCTTCCAGCTCCTAGCTGCCCAGGGACTCGGCCACCCTGAAACCTACATGCCATCTTTCACTCTTCAACTTTTAGAAGAGATCAGGGGACCCAGGAATCCTGAGCTGGTAGAGGACTCAGGCTTTACAGTGGCCCCTAATGACCCAGACCTCCTCCACCTGGAGAAGGAAAGGAAGCTGGAGACCAGGATCTTAGGAGGAAAGACCTCTACCTCAACCACCCTTCATCTCCCCATCAGGGAAACCCTATATTCAGCCCAAGAGAGAAATTCCTGTACAGGAGCAGATCACTCTGGAGCCTGAACTGGAAGAGGCACTGGCCAATGCCACAGATGCTGAAATGTGTGACATTGCAGGTGGGCAGCTGTGGGACGCTGAGGAGGGTGAGGACACCAGGGCCAGGGGTTCCTACCCAGGGCCTGGGACTAGTGAGGAAGGCCCTGAACAGGACATGGATGTTAGAGAAAGCCTCCAGGCCATGGTTTTTAATTTTTGTTTGTTTATATATTCACTCATTCATTTTTTTAATTTAATTTTATTTTTTTTTAAGATTTTATTTATTTATTTGAGAGAGAGAGAGCACAAGAGGGGGGAGCGGGAGAGGGAGAAGCAGACTCCCTGCTGAGCAGGGAGCCTGATGCGGGACTCGATCCCGGGACTCCAGGATCATGACCTGAGCTGAAGGCAGTTGCTTAACCAACTGAGCCACCTAGGCGCCCCACTCATTCATTTTTTAATTTAGTAAGTTCACATCTCAAAGGTAATTTTATAGGAATTTTAAAGCAAATAAAAGTGGAACTATCCTGGGGCGCATGGATGGCTCAGTCATTAAGTGTCTGCCTTCGGCTCAGGTCATGATCCCAAGATCCTGGGATCGAGCCCCGCATCTGGCTTCCAGCTCCGTGGGAAGCCTGCTTCTCCCTCTCCCACTCCCCCTGCTTGTGTTCCCTCTCTCACTGTGTCTCTCTCTAGCAAATAAATAAAATCTTAAAAAAAAAAAGTGGAACTATCCTGGCTGAAAACAGGAGGAAGTCTGACAGACCCCCTCGTGCTTTTTTTTTTTTTTTCCTGAATGTGGAATACTGTTGTTGTTTTTCCCTCCCTCACCCTCTGGGGGTTCCTTAGAGACCTTCCCTTAGCCCTGCCTCAAAGTTTTAAAAGCCACCACCTTAAGCAGTTCATGTAAGGGAACTCTGGGACCTAGGGAGATAGGAACCTCACTGGAAGAGTGGAGGAGGTCAGGCTTTAAAACTACAACCGATTCAGAATGAGGAGGGAGGACTGGGAAGAAACCTGTCCCCCCTCTACTTGCTCTCTCCAGCAATTCTAGGCATGTACACGCTGATGAGCAACAAGCAATACTATGACGCCATCTGCAGTGGAGAGATCTGCAACACGGAAGGCATTAGCAGTGAGTGTGTCCGGGGGCATGACACCCAGGGCTTTGGCAGGTGGTCCCAAGGTCTGAGGAAAGGTAGCAAAGGGTGAAACAAGGGGATCACGGAGAGAATGTGGTACATGAATAATAAGAGAACCAATGGGGAGGAGATTGTGGAGGACATGTTGGGGTTTCCTTCTGGCCCTCACCCACCAGGTGTGGTGCAACCTGACAAGTATAAGCCGGTGCCAGATGAGCCCCCAAATCCCACAAACATCGAGGAGATCCTAAAGAGTGTTCAAAACAACGACAAGGAGCTGGAGGAGGTGAACCTCAATAACATACAGGTATCTGACCTCCTCATTCTTCAAATAATAAATTCCCATTTAACTATGTGAGTCCCAGATATGTGAGCCCCTTAGCCCGCCCTTTCTTCCCCTGACAGGACATCCCGATACCCATGCTAACGGAGTTATGTGAGGCAATGAAGACAAATACCTATGTCCGGAGCTTCAGTCTGGTGGCCACAAGGAGTGGTGACCCCATTGCCAATGTAAGGCAACTTGAAATCCCTAGCCCTCTCCCCATACCTTGACACGTACCCCTGCCAGGGCTGTCATAAGGGGCTGTGCTGGGGGTGCTATTCCCATCGTGTTCTCTTAGCATAGCCTGATGGGAGACTCTACCTTCACTCCTATGGCTCAACACTCTGAGATCCTCAGATCACCTTCTCAGAGTCACAGCCCTCTCTTCCACCCACCAACTCCACTGCACACTTACCCTCTGTGCTTCCCCTACTACCTGCGCTCCCTTCTGTCTCCCTCTAGCCCCACCGACAGCTCCTCAAGGACTCTTCTCAAAGACCTGTGCTCCCTCTTGCTCCTGTTCTCTCTCTCCTCAGTCATTTGTGAAACCATCCCCTAATCCTAACCCAAGTCCCTACTACCCAGGCGGTGGCGGACATGTTGCGTGAGAATCGTAGCCTCCAGAGCCTGAACATTGAATCCAACTTCATCAGCAGCACAGGGCTCATGGCTGTGCTGAAGGCAGTTCGGGAAAATGCCACACTCACTGAGCTCCGTGTAGACAACCAGGTCAGCATTTCCTTCCCCTGGTCTTTGCATTCAGCTAATATTCACTGAGTCTCTTCCCTCGGGCAGCCACTGGGTCAGGATCTCATCTAATCTTATCTGAATTCTCTTCATTGTCTCTATGAAGGGAGCCAAGTCAGCATCTCTCATCACCCACTGTCACGAAACAAGCTTCTTTGACTCCCCAAAGGGTTGGTGGTGTGGGACCATGAACAACGCAGAGAGGGTAGCTGACAGGTCTCATCTCTCCCTCCCCCAGCGCCAGTGGCCTGGCGACGCAGTGGAGATGGAGATGGCCACCGTGCTCGAACAGTGTCCCTCCATTGTCCGCTTTGGCTACCACTTTACACAGCAGGGGCCACGAGCTCGGGCCGCCCAGGCCATGACCCGGAACAATGAACTACGTGAGTAAACGCAGACATGTTGTGTGGGGGAAAGGGCAAGGAGGGAGAGGATCCTCCTGAAAGCTGACTTAGTGACTAAAAGCCTGGGGTGCTGCCAAAACAAGAGTCACATGAGAAGTACATAAGTGACCAGAAAGTAGATAGAAAAGTCCCCTGCCCCAAATTTATACCTGTAGGAAGGTGGAAAAGAATCTAGACATACCTGTTTGTGGCCATGGTATTTTTACTTGCCATGTCATTTCTTATTTTGCTTTATTAATGGGGGGTGGGCATGCTTGCTGGCCTAAGCCATTACCTCTTTATGAGTCTGGCCAAGGAACTGGAAAGGGGAAGAAGGGCACCTTTGCAGGAAGCAGGAGATGGAATAAAGATTTGTGTTTACTCTTTCCCGTTACAGGTCGCCAGCAAAAAAAGAGATAACACTACCTTTTCCCTTTACCAACTATAGCTGGGAGCCCTGAATACCTAAATCCTCATCTCTCCCCCTTCCTGTAAATAAAGGCCCTTCTGTCCACTCTGCCTGCCTCCTTCCTTGGGCTTTGGGGTGGGAATCTTGGCGCTAACCCCCAAAGGTTACTGCCAATTCATCAGGGGATTATTTATACTCTGGGGATCAGCAGGCAAGGAGGTTCAAGTTACTAGGCGGAGGTGGGGGAGCTCCCTCCCTTGGTGTTCCCCATGGCCCTGCCAATGCTGTTAGTCCCTTCTGCTCTCATAGGGACCTACCCCAGCCCTCTTTCCAGATGTGGCCAGGCCCCCTGGTGCCTACCCACAACCCTCATGTGATCTGAAGGAGGAAAGGACTTTGAGTGGAGGTGGGGAAGAAGGCAGACAACATGAAGGGCAAAGACCTCCTTCTGACAGACTTATTAATAGGGCATTGGGCTGTGTGCAGCTGACGCTTGGCATGACTTTGGTAGAAGGTGGGGGAGGGGTTAGAAGTATGGGGAGCCATGTACATTGCAGGGAAGAGTTAGCCAGGCTAAGAATGCAGATGTGAAATACTGAAATGGGGGGTGCCTGGGTGGCTCAGTCAGTTAAGCATCTGACTCTTGATCTCAAGTCTTGATCTCAGGGTCGTGAGTTCAAGCCCCACCTCGGGCTTCACGCTGGGTGTTCAGCCTCCTTAAAAAAAAATCCACCAATGAAATCCTGAAATGGGACACGGAAGCCGACTCGAGGAAAGTTAGGCTCCCAGAGCCCGCTGAAATTTATTTGTGAACAAGTGGGGAAAGAGGGTGTCAGTCTAAGGGGAGATCAGGGGGTTCTTCTTCATCAGAGTCAAACTCAACATTCTCATCTTTTACCCAGCGACCTTGTCCATCTGGGATCCATCCAGAGCTAGAAATATCAGAGAAAATAGAATAGGTCAGGAAAAGAGGTTTAAGAAGTTAGTGGGGATAAGAAAAAAACAACTGAGAAGGATTGAAATAAGGAGAGTCAGAAAGAAAAGAGAAAACTTGAGGAAAGTGATTCTGCATACTCACCTTCGAAGGGTAAGGTAATGATCCAGGACTCGTCTTCTTGTGGGGCTCATGGGTGCAGGGGACGAGACAGTTGCTGGCTCTTTGGCCTGTGGGCCAACCCCAGGCATGGGTTCCCTAGTGATCTTCCCACTCTCGGGCTCAACCTCTGGGGGTGGCAAAGGGGAATGGGAGACAGAGGGACGAGGGGTTTCTGGTCTGGGTAGAGAAGAATCAATGTCTATAAAAGTGATAAAGGAAAAGGGCCAATTCTCCTATGACTCCCAACCCCTTACAGCAGTGCTTCCTAAACTGTGTTCCTCAAGATATTAATAAATGCCCTGCATAAAAAAGAATTTTGGAATCAATGAATTTTTAAAAGTCTAGGTTAAAATTTTTGAGGTTTTTTTAATCTTAAGACTTTGTAGAGCCCTTCAAATATACTAATATTACTATTCTTCAAGTAGGATTACAAAGTGCAATTTCTGAAACAAACAAACAAAGGCAAAATCCTCTTTTTCCTGAAATAGCAGTTAACATCTCTGGAATACTCGTATTCCTGAGAATACAATTTGGAATACCATCATTTTAGAGCCATTTATCTCCTCTGTCCCTCCCTACCTCTGGCTTTCCAACCCCACAGACCTGTACTTCCGGCGGCAGCAACTGTTATAGTAAGGAGCTCTGTGCAGAGCACTTTGGGTGGTAAGTCGAGTCTGGGTTAACAGAGGAGCCTGGTATGGAGATGGGAAACAGAGTCAGAGTCTTCAGAGCTAGAAAGAAGTCAAAGCCCTTCAAGCCTAAGGTGTGCAGCAGGCCCACCTGAAACACAAACCATCCCCCCACCCCCCCACTACCTCAGCCTTGGTCTCTGACGGCCTCAATTCATTCTGCTGTCTTGGACTCTGGTCCATTCCCTTTCCTGGCTGCTTCTTGCCATAGAAAAGCTGCAGGCCTGAGGATTGAGGGGAAGAGAATTAAAAACAGAACAGCAGAGTATCTGCAGACATTTGGAGAGTTTATTCTCTGACCCCCTGTCTTCCCTCAAACTTACTGGACAGATGTTTCTTGCCTGCACGGTGGGCAGTCAGCATGGCCAGGGTGTCCAGTACAGGTCGGTGGGGACAGATGGCACAAGCAAAGCTGGAGATGAGGAGAGAAGATATTTGGTCCCGGGTGAGTGGGGTCTGGGCTGTTGGTCCCACTTGACCTAGCAATCCTTTCCAAAGCCAAACTCTGAGGTCTCCCAATCTCCACCACCCACATCCCTGTCCCTCACTCCCCACCAAAGAATCCTAGATACTCCCGCTCTCCCCGCTTGATAACAAAATTTTATTAAGCTTCTAACCGCAGAACCCTCAGGCTTGATCACCCCTCGCGCTCACCGTCCATCCCGTAGCATCAGCGCCTCATCCTCTGGGATGTAACTGGCCAGCAGGTCCCCGACTCTTCGTTTCTACAGGGGGTAACGGGACGGCATCGGCCGGATAGGAGGGAGGGACGGAAGGGAAACGACAGGGACGAGGATTGAAAGGGAGTAAGGACCATGAGAACAGAAATCAGAGCGAAAAAGGGGTCACTACCCAGCTCTAGCCGCTCCCTCCCGCGTCCTCCCCCCAACCGCAGCTGTTGCCAGAGCAACAAAACAGCTCCTTCACAGGGTAGTGAAACTGCTCCCAACGCTCTCCTCTTGCGCTTACTTTAAGCACGTTGAGTTGACTCCAATCATCCCCTTCCCTCTTGAAAGACATTACGATTGAGTCCCAGAAGCGAGCAATTCTCCTGAGCCGCCTCCGCCACTCCTTCCAGGCCACCGTAGCAAGAATGGGACGTCTCCCATTTCCTTCGGCTTTCTTTCCGGTTGGCCTCCTTATTGCCCTGGAAGCGCTTCCCTGTATGCGCAGCGCTATCCGAAAGCCCGCCCACAGCCTGCCGAGGGGACCGCACTTCCGGCGCGACCCGGCGACCCCGCACACGCGGGGCCTTTTGGGAAATGAAGTCTTTTTTTTTTTTTCAAGGAGCTTGCCGCCCAGCTGGCTCCTGGCCCTTGCATCTTGGCTGATTCGAGGCGTATGGGGAGACAAGAACCTAAACGTGGAGACCGATTTTGATGCTGTGACAGATCTGATGGGGAGCGGGCCTTGGAGGATCTCTGAGTGGAAAGTGAACTACAAACTCTCGCGGTCATCACGCGCCTCCTCTGCCGCCGACAGCCCACCAGTGGTGGGCCGGATTTATTCCTGACACTAGCGGACCAACCCCGGGACGGGGCGGAGCCAGGGAGCTGGGGGAACCCAGGAGGCGGGGGCTGCCCGACCTGGGGGCGGGTGGCAAACGGAGCGGAGTGTGGAGGAGGGTAGCTACAGTTCAAAGGTCAGAGGTCAACATAGCGAATTGTGAGACGGTCGAAAGTCAGCAGGGTGCTAAGGATAGACTCAGGTAGGGACTGAATCCTCGGCACAGATTTGTGGGAAGGGGGCTTGGAAGGAGGACAAACGACAGCCGAGGGGGCGCGAAGTGCCGGGGGAGGCGGAGAGTTAGGAGAGGAGACAGAAGGGGAAAGGAATCCCCTGGATATCCATTCCTAGACCCCAGTCCCAACACTGTCGGGCACTTAGCCAGGCCTCCCTTAGTTGCAACCCCGGCTGTCAACAGGGTGAGGAGATGACTTCTCCCTCTAGACAGGCCCCCCTCGGGGGGTCAGGACTGCTTCAAGGGAGCCGGGCTCGTTCTTACGGAAGCCTGGTGCAGTCTGCCTGCTCCCCGGTGAGGGAAAGACGCCTGGAGCATCAGTTGGCCCCCGGAGACACCCTGGCTGGACTAGCACTCAAATACGGGGTGACGGTGAGTTTTCCACGATCGGGATGCAGACTACCATTTAGAAGAAATTTATTCCTCATTAGAATGTAATGACTCTTCTAAGCAACTTCCCCTGAAATTTTCCTGATTGTGGTCTGATCCACCTTTATCTTTTTGTTTTCCCATCTCAGTGTTGCCCTGTCTGGTTGGGACAAGTCCTGTGCCACTATCCCAGTGGAGAGGAGCTGCTTCTATTTATTATGTCAGTCTCTATTCTAGAGGCTTTACATACATTGGCCCATTTGATTCTCACATCCCTATCAAACGTACAATTATTGTCTCCTGTTTACAGAAGAAGAAACTGAGACTTAGATTGGCTAACCAATTTGACCAAGATCAACTAACTAATGAGTATTAGAGTGGGAATTCAAACAGGTCTAACTCCAAAGCTCGTACTATTAACCACATAGAAACTTTTTAATTGCAAGTGATTAAGCATTACAGCAAACAATGGAGAGCTGATTTCTAATTCTAAGTTTTTATGAGACCAGTATTCTAACCACTCTAGTTCTAAGTTTTGTTTGTTTTTTGTGTTTTTTTTAAGATTCATGTATTTATTTGTGGAGGGTAGGGGTCTGAGGGGCAGAGGGAGAGGTAGAAAGAATCCCAAGCAGACTCACAGGCAGGCATGGAGCCCCACTCGTGGCTCCACGCCAGGACCCTGAGACCAGGACCTGAGCAGAAATCAAGAGTCCATTGCTTAACTGACTGAGCCACCCAGGCACCCCGGTTCTAAGTTTTTATTTTTATTTATTTATTTATTTTTAAAGATTTTATTTATTTATTTGAGACAGAGAGAATGAGAGACAGAGAGCATGAGAGGGAGGAGGGTCAGAGGGAGAAGCAGACTCCCTGCCGAGCAGGGAGCCCCATGCGGGACTCGATCCCGGGACTCCAGGATCATGACCTGAGCCGAAGGCAGTCGCTTAACCAACTGACCCACCCAGGCGCCCCTAAGTTTTTAAACTCTATCTCTTCTGGTTCTTTTTTTACTCCTCAGCGCTCTGCATTCTTTCCAGTAGGGTGGCCTCCTTGGTGCAAAACAGGTACTCTCTATGCCAGGCATTTCAGGCTATGCGTGTGGTATATTTAATAGGTGTAAAAATACATTGCATTGAACTTGATGAGTTTTTTTCCATATCCTGTCAAATATAGCCAACATTTATTTTTATTTTTTTATTTTTTTTTTAAGATTTTATTTATTTAATTGACACAGAGAGAGAGAGACAGCAGGGGGGAGTGGGAGAGGGAGAAGCAGGCTTCCCACTGAGCAGGGATCCCAATGCAGGGCTTGATCCCAGGACCCTGGAATCATGACCTGAGCCGAAGGCAGTCACTTAACCAACTGAGCCACCCAGGCGCCCCTCTTTTTATTTTTTTATTAAAATTTTTTAGCCAACATTTTTTTAAGATTTATTTATTTATTATTTTAGAGAGAGAAAGCATGGGATGGGGAGGGGCAGAGGGAGAGGGAAAGAACGTCAAGCAGACTCCCTGCTAAGCATGGAGCCAGATGCCAGGCTCCATCTCACGACCCTGAGATCATGACCTGGGCAAAGATCAAGAGAGACACTCAACCGCAACTGAGCCACCCAGGCACCCCTAGCCAACATTTCTATGCTTGGTATGTTTAAGCACTGTTCTAACCATCCCGAGAGATAGGAACATAAATAAAATGTGTAGATATTGCCCTCATGTAATTTGCAGTCTAGTGAGAAATGAATGGGGACACAGATAATGATTGCAGGTGATTGAATGTGGTGAGTTTGTAGAGGTATTAACAAAGGGTTAGAGGGGCGCCTGGGTGGCTCATTCGGTTAAGCGTCTGCCTTCAGCTTGGGTCATGATCCCAGGGTCCTGGGATGGAGCCCGGCATTGGGCTCCCTGCTCAGTGGGGAGCCTGCTTCTCCCTCTCCCTCTGCCTGCTGCTGCCCCTGCTTGTGCTCTCTCTCTCAAATAAATAAATAGAATCTTAAAAACAAACAAACAAAAAAGGGTTGGAAATCAGAAAAGAAGATTAATTTTTAGCTGGAAAGGGACAAGGAAGGACACAAGTGTAGATTTTAAGGGAATTTTAAGGGGCCTTGAAAGATTTAGAAGTTCCTTCCCGTAGCTCCTCTACAAACCTATAATCCTTTATACCTTTTTTTTTTTTTTTTAAGATTTTATTTAGGGGCGCCTGGGTGGCTCAGTCGTTAAGTGTCTGCCTTCAGCTCAGGTCATGGTCCCAGGGTCCTGGGATCAAGCCCCGCATCGGGCTCCCTACTCCGCGGGAGGCCTGCTTCTCCCTCTCCCACTCCCACTGCTTGTGTTCCCTCTCTCGCTGTGTCTCTCTCTGTCAAATAAATAAAAAATCTTTTAAAAAAAGAAAAGATTTGGGGTGCCTGGGTGGCTCAGTTGGTTAAGCAACTGCCTTCGGCTCAGGTCATGATCCTGGAGTCCCTGGATCGAGTCCCGCATCGGGCTCCCTGCTCGGTGGGGAGTCTGCTTCTCCCTCTGACCCTCCCCACTCTCATGTGCTCTCTCTCATTCTCTCTCTCTCAAATAAATAAATAAAATCTTAAAAAAAAAAAGATTTTATTTATTTTTTTGACAGAGAGAGACACAGCGAGAGAGGGAACACAAACAGGGGGAGCAGGAGAGGGAGAAGCAGGCTTCGCACTGAGCAGGGAGCCTGATGCGGGGCTTGATCCCAGGATCCCGGGATCATGACCTGAGCCAAAGGCAGACACTTAACAACTGAGCCACCCAGGCGCCCCCAGTTGTTTGTACCTTTTACATGTTTGTCTTCCCAATAACCTGTACTTTCCTTAAGGGACAGAACTGTTTTCTTTCAATTTTATATCTCTGGAGTCTGGCATAGTCCCCAGCACATAGAAGCCAATAGATGTTTTTTTGAACGAATGAAAACATGGCTAAGATTTCCACAGGTGGAGACTGGGAGGATAGGAAAGTGAACATTTCAAGTAGAGGCCATGGCCTAAACAAAGGAAGTGGATATGAAAGTACTGAGTGGCCCCTTCATCCCAGCAGAGGCTCAGAAGCTGTGCAAAGAAGAGAACCGTGCCACTGGTAAATCAGCTATTATTTATGGAGGTTTTCTTACAGCCCTGTACCCTTCTGAGTACAAAAAAGCTCTGTAGTCTAGTGAAGGGTTCCAGGTTCTGGCCTCATTCTGCTGCTTACCAGCTGAGTGGCTGCATAAGTCACTTCACCTGTCTGGGACCTGTTTCCTTACCATTTGTAAAATGAGGATGAGGTATTAAATAATGATAATTACCTGAGTTGTCATCACCTGTCATTTAAAGGACACTTAGTATGTGCCAAGTTCTATATATTATCTCATATTATCTCCATAAGATTTTATGAAGTGGATGTAACTAGTCCCCAGATATTTAAAGATAAGGAAAGCGAGGCTTAGGGTCATAACTTGCTACAGACTACAAGTCTGCTTAGTAGAGCTAGGATTCAGACCAGGTTGTCTCATTCTAAAATCCTCACTTTGAATTGCTCTGTTAAACTAACTAGATTCTCATGGCCTTTCTAGCTCAGCAGACTAGCTCAGCAGCCTAGGACTCCTCTGGGGTTTGGCTTTGGTTGCATCCTTTTTAAAGGGGGAATGATGTTGCCTTATATGGTACTTCTAGGAAATAATAAAAGCACCAGAAAATTCACAGAATTCATAACATCTTCGAGCTAGGGACTTAGGATATTATCTAGGCAAAATAAAATCTATAGCATTAAAGCACTTTGCAAAATAAGGGTACAAAACTACAAGCCAATTTTAATTTTTTTTATAGTTCAAATTAATCCAGTTTTATTTTGGACACATTATAGCATAAGATTTTTACTAACATACTACATTTGCGGTTTCTATATTTTGTTATCTAGTTTATTTACTCATAAAGCATTAATGAACCTCTACTGTGTGCCAAGTTTGTGTGATGCTGAGGAGTGCCTTAGGATACAGAAACAGCATCCCTGCCCTCAAAGGACTCACAGAGTTTGGGCAAGACAAATATGCAAAGAGGTGAATAACAATATAATAGGGTAGGTATTATGCGGCAATATTTACAGCATACCTTGGGAGCCCTGGAGAAGGTAACACAAAGGGAGTGAGAGTTGATGAGAAGTTTTCCCAGCAGAGAAGGGGACAGTGGAGAAGTATTTTAGGTAGATAAAGACACAAAGGTGTGAAAGATCATAAAATGTTCAGAAAAAAAATGAAAAGTTCAGGATGGCAAAATGTATAGGTGGCAGAAGAAGAGAGATGAAGCTAGACATCTTACGGGGGTAGATTGAGAACCCTTGAATGCTAATTTGAATTTTATCTCTGAGCCAATGGGGAGCCATAGGAGGTTGATAAAGCAGAGTAGTAGGTTGATCAGATTAATTTTTTTTTAGAAAGATAGATGTTAGCAGGGTGGAGATACATAGACGTGGAGAGAGGAAGACCAGTTAAAAAAACCGTTGTAGGGGCTCCTGGGTGGCTCAGTTGGTTAAGCGACTGCCTTCGGCTCAGGTCATGATCCTGGAGTCCCTGGATCGAGTCCCGCATCGGGCTCCCTGCTCAGCAGGGAGCCTGCTTCTCCCTCTGACCCTCACCCCTCTCATGTGCTCTCTCTCTCTCATTCTCTCTGTCTCAAATAAATAAATAAAATCTTAAAAAAAAAAAAAAAACCGTTGTAATGCCCGGATAAGAAATATTAAAAATCTGTTTTAAGGTAATGGTGGTCAACATAAAGGTCAGACTAGACAGGAGAGAGATTTTCGCAGCACTTTGGTTGACCAGTTCGGTATGGGTGTTGAAAGAAAAGAGTGATTATGGATGGCATTGATATTTCTACCTTGGGTGGCAAGTGGAAGGCAATGCCAGTCACTATGTTCGGTGATGAATAAATAGGTACTAAATATTTGGTCAGTGAAATTATTAATATTAGTGTGAAGAGCATCCCCAGAAGGAATAAAAAGGCCCAGCTTTGTCATTAACTTGCTGGATAGTATTAGGCAAGTAACTTAACCTCTCTGAGCCTCAGTTCCTTCATCTTTAACAGAAGTTCTTTCTTTTTTTTTTTTTTTTTTGATTTTATTTATTTGACAGAGAGAGACACAGCGAGAGAGGGGACACAAGCAGGGGCAGAGGGAGAGGGAGAAGCAGGCTCCCCGCTGAGCAGGGAGCCTGATGCGGGACTCGATCCCAGAACCCTGGGATCATGACCTGAGCCGAAGGCAGACGCTTAACGACTGAGCCATCCAGGCGCCCTTTAACAGAAGTTCTTAAAGTGAGGTCTAGGGATCCCTTGGAGTCTCAGGGACTCAGGATCTCAGGATCACAAGGTCAAAACTATTTTCATAGTAATGATAATAAGGCTCTATCTTTTTCATTCTCATTCTCATGAGTGTACTCTATTTTCCAGAAGCTATAAGACATTTAATATTACAGCCCATTGAATGTCGAGGCAGATAGGAGAATCCTCTGTGGTCTTTTGTTAACTCAGACATTAAAGTGACTTGCAAAAATGTAAAACAGTGCCTCTCTTTTTGCTCCATTTGTTGTTGTTTTGGAAAATAGTTATTTTCCATTAAAATATTTATGTTAACATGTAATGGTTATTTTGTTTTAAACATGTATTTATTTTACAGAGAGCAGGAGCGAGTATGGGGGGCGCCAAGGGAGAGGGAGAGAGAATCTCCAGCAGACCCCCTGCTGAGCCAGGAGCCTGATCCAGGGCTCAATGCCACCACCCTGAGATCAGACCTGAGCCGAAATCAGGAGTCAGATGCTTAACTGACTGAGCCACCCAGATGCCCCTATAATGGGTTATTTAAAAGAAATACACGTTTTTCAGTTTGTTCAGTTTTAATTTATAATACCTTAAATGTTGATAGCTATAATCTACATAAATGAAAGCTTTTTTTCCTCAATAGTTTTTAATAATGTCAGGGGACCCTAACACCGAAAAGTATGGAAACCTCTGATCAATAAAATAGGAATGATATTAATATCAGCCCTTTGTATTTTAGCTTGGTTGTTATAGGGTCAGATAAGACTCTGTACAATCACTTTAAAAGGCATGAGATGCTGAACAAATAGAAGATTGATATTATTACTGTCATTAATTGCGGTGACTTTTCTTTAAAGATGGAACAGATTAAGCGTGCAAACCGCCTTTATACTAATGACTCCATCTTCCTGAAGAAAACCCTCTACATCCCCATCCTGACAGAGCCCAGAGACCTGTTCAATGGTTTGGATTCTGAGGAAGAGAAGGATGGAGAGGAAGAGGCACAGTCAAGTAAGGATGAAGCTCGGCCACCCTCAGCTGACAGGAAGAAACAAGAGACAGGTTCAGGCCGTGCTAACGGGGAGGTCCTTCCCACACCTGGCCGGGAACCCCCAACTCCCATCCATGACCTCTCTGCCTCTGATTTCCTTAAGAAGCTTGATTCACAGATCAGCCTATCAAAGAAGGCTGCTGCCCAGAAGCTGAAAAAGGGGGAAAGTGGGTGAGTCTTGAACGGTTCCTTTTAAGCCCCTCCATAGACTTCTGCCTCCTTGCAACCTTACCTAACCAGACCCACAAGTAGTCAGCAGAAGCAGGGGAAAGCCTTTCGCCCAGGTGGCCCTGAAACAACAGAGCCAGTGGCTGCTGGGATGGGTAGAGCAGCAGGAAATGGTTCTCTGTTCTCACTGGGGTGAAGTAGATGAGTGGTGGTGTAGCTCTCATGATCCATGAAGGAGCATTAGGGTTAGAATTTATCGAGAGGGTAATGAGACTCCATCTCAGAGCAAGCAGCTCATGTATATTAGGAGGGGAGGACAGCTTCCCATGTACCTGTTCACTGGGCCCTTTCTCAGGTTCTTCCCCTGACCTGTCACTTTGCCCCCTTTCCTCACCTGCAGGGTACCTGGGGAGGATTCAGGCCTTCACCTGAGCTCCCCACGGATGCAGCAGCGAGCAGTCCTAGGTCCAGTGCCGCTGACCCGGACCGCTCGGACCCGGACGCTTCGGGACCAGGAGGATGAAATCTTCAAACTCTGATGTCCCCAGAACTGATTGAGAGAAGATGTTGAAGGAGCAACTTGAGGGGGAGAGGAGCCTGAGGTGAGGCTCAAGAACATGGCTTCCCAGCCCACCTCCCTCCCTCCTGCCATCTTCCCAGCCTCCTGTCGATCTAGAGTTCCTTGGCCTGGGGCAGCTTTATTGGGGATGGGGAATAGAACCCTCCTCAGTTCTTGGGCTGAATCTAGAGCTGTCTTTTAGATTCAAAAGGCTCTTTTTACATCCCGGCTGCCTTTCCCATCCCTTTTACCATTCCTTGGCCTTAGAGCAGGGAGACAAGGACTCCCCCAGCCCCCAACCTCCTCCCCATTTCCGACTATATTACCTAATTTATTTGGTGCTATATTGAAGTAATATTTGTTTGCTGTATCTTATTGTTTCCCTCTTGTAACTGAAAAATGGGATTTCTATAGTTCTGGGGCAAGGGGAATCCAGGACCAGAGAGCCAGTGACTGCCGGTTCCCCACCTTTGCCGCCACCTTAGGCAAGCATGTTACTGAGGATGGGGCAATCTGTGACCTAGCCCTTCTGCAGAGAATGGCAGACAGTGCTGGGCCTTTCCCCCAATCTCAAAGTAAAGCGTTTGGGCTCAGTTCTGACTAACCAGTTCATAACTTTTTCATAACTCTCGCTCTGAGAAAAAACAGCGAAGTAGGGACCAGAACTCTCCATGCCACCAGTTCACCCTTCTAACCTGCTCCTCTGTTCAGCCTGTGTGAGGCTAAGGGATGAAAGAAGAATTACCTTGGAGTTTGAAGAGGAGGACGGTTGGGGGAGACTTTTTGTTGTGGGAGTTTCTTTGTTACACTCCCTCCCCACCAGAGCCTGTTGATCTATGCCTTGCTCCTCACTGCATATTTATTTGCAATTTGTAGCACTGATCTGCGGTACAGTTGGTTTTTGTTTTGTTTTAGTTTCTTAAGCAGAAGTAGGCAAGGGAACCCCAGTGATACTTGAAACTATGCCTCAGTCTCCCATATGGAAATGGTGAGAGGTGAGATAAGTGGTGTTTCTGTATCTCTTGCCTCTGTGACGGTCGTAAGGTGTAAGAAGCTGGAGAGATTAAACATTGAGCCCTGTGCATGTTAAGTAGTTTTATTTCCCCTGTGAGAATCTCCCCTGCCCTAGCCCCTTCTTCCTGCGCTCTGGAACAGAGCCTCTGGTATCTGTCCATGCTCTGCCTGGAGGTGGAGGTCTAGGAGGGCCCTCCTGTCTTTAGTGTCCCCTGAAGGGTTAGTTGGGCTATGCCCTCTTCCCCTGGTTCACAATGGAGGGGGCTTCCCTGTTTCAAATGTCCCTTATGGGGGAAATAGAGATCCAAGTTTCACTTCGTCTTTTTCAGGCAGCTTTGTTTCCTGTGCTGGGGCTGGAGTGGGAGAGAGGCCTCAACCCTCAGCTTTGCTTCTTCTCCACCAGCAGTTGGGGGGGTGGGGTGGTCTCAGAGGCAAAAGCACTCTGGGGAAAGACTGAAGCCTGAGGACTGAAGAGCATTAGTGCAGATGAGCAGGGTTAGAGAGCCCATTCGGTGTGGTTTTCTCAGTCCGCCGTGCGGCTAAGGTAGGACGTGCTGGGTCCCGAGCTGTCAGAGCTTGCCCTCGTCCAGCAGCTTCCGGAGCCCATCGCAGATCTTGCCCCGGTGCTGAGTGAAGTCGGGCCCGTAGAGGGCCGTGAGCAGGCCGGCGTCGGAGAAGTGATCGAACACGTGGCGGATGCGGCCGTGCGACTTGGGCGTGAGGTGGCGCGCCACCAGCTCCAGCAGCGTGTCCCGGCACTCGGTCAGCAGGCCGGCCAGCACGGCCGCCTCGAAGGTGAAGTCCACCTCGCCGAAGCTGAGCGCGGTCATGGCGCCCTGCCGCAGCTTTTGGCGGAAGCGGTCAGCCAGGGCCAGCTCGCCGGGGCCGAAGCAGCCGCTGCGGTGCAGCACGGCCACCTTGACGGCCACCTTGACGAGGTCCTTGAGAACGCGCTGCGCCTGCGGCCGGCTGTGCGTGTACTCCTTGGAAACGCGGTAGAGCTCGTCGAGCACCTCGCTGCTAGTCTCGTCCATGAACAGATGCGCCACCGAGCGACCTGCCATCTTACTCAGCAGCTTCTTCTCTGCTTGCAGTGCCAGACTCTTTGAGCTGAAGGACTCCATAGTTCCTGGGGAAGGGGGAGGGGGGTCTGCGGTCAGATACTGGAAGAAACGCCACAGGCTTGCGTAGAAAGAGAGAAATGGCTTTTCTCCCTTTCTCTGGTTTCTATCTCATTGTCATCTTTTTTTTTTTTTAAGATTTTATTTATTTTAATTAGAGAGAGCACAAGTAGGCAGAGCGGCAAGCAGAGGGAGAGGGAGAAGCAGGCTCCCCGCAGAGCAGGGAGCCCGATGTGGGGCTCGATCCCAGGACCCTGGGATCATGACCTGAGCTGAAGGCAGACGCTTAATGACTGAGCCACCCAGGCGCCACTCATTGTCATCTTTCTTTGTCATCTTTTCTCCCTGGGCCCCCTCAGTCTTCTCTGCCTTGTTCCCATTTCTTTTCCTGTGGAACTGTAGGAAATCTCAACCTCTACACTTCCCAGAGGGGCATGCTAGCTTTGGTGGGGGCGTGAGGGCACACAGGCCGCTAGCCCCCAGAAGTGAAGCCTTAAAGGGGAAGTCGGCTGTTGCTGGGCTACAGGGGAAAAGATAAGGCTCACCTGGCGACTAGTTGTCACAGCGACCACTGGGGACACTGACTATGTACCATACATCTATGAGGTGTGGCTGTTACTCTCCTTGCTTTACAGCCAAGCAAACTGAGGCTTGCTTTAAATAATTTACCCGAGGTCAAACGCAACCATCTTCCTGACTCCAAAAGTCCGTGGCAGCTCGTGTGCTATACTGCCTTGGGAAGTGGGTGAGGTAGGGGTCCCAGGAGTCCTGGTAAAAATAATAACTCACGTTTATTGAGAACATATGTGCCAAGTGCTTTATGGGAATTGTCCCAGTCTTCCCAACCCTTTGTAAGGTAGGTGTCCCCATCTTGCCATGAGAACACTGAAGCTAAGAGAAATCAAGCAACTTGGCCAAAGTCACTAGCAAATGATTAAAATGGGCCTCGAACTACAGAACCCAAAGAAACCTCCTTCCCTGGAACGCTTTCACTGAGGTTGATACAGACTAAGGAAGCATGAGAAACAAACACCTCCGGGGGGGGCAGGTAGTAGTAGAGGCCCGTGGTCTTCTGCTGGGACTGAACCGAGGACCCTCCTGGTGGCACATCACCGCCACATATCCAGGGTTCTCTCCCCGTGGTCTTTGCCCGTGGTTCTGGTTGTTTTGCTTCTTACTTCCCCCCTCCCCTGCTCTGCAGGATGTGGCTGTTACCGCAGTAAGGAGCAGCCTCGCCCTCTCCCCTGAAGGCACAGGGGAGATGGGTACCGTTGCGGAGAGGGTCTTGCCCCGCTGTATCAGTCCAGTGGGAACCTGAAACCTTGCTTTTTGCTCCTGGCCTTGGGGTTTTCTGGACCGGGCTCCACAGCCGGAAGAGGAGATTGCTCCATGCGAGCCTTCCTTCCTCGTTGGCCTTCCTGTTACCCAGCTCTTCATTGCACCCGTGGTTATCTCACATCTGGTCCACTGTCCTCTCCCTCCCGTTTCAGCCTCCCTTTTTCTCTTGTCTGGGTCCTGCCCTGCGATCCTCGGGCCAAGCTCTCCCTCTGGCCATTATGTCTACCTCCATGTCTCCTACGATGTCCTCACATCTCTCAGTACTCTGTCACACACCCATATCACCCCCATGCCTCCACCCTGCCTCTATACTGTCCCAAACCATGTCTTTCTGAGGCTGCCTTGCCCCAGGGAAGACTGAGCTGGGCCTCTGCTGAGAGTCTCACAACATGGAAGGCTCAGGCTGACAGAGCTGGGACTCTTCTGCCACCATCACCCCTAAAGCCTCTACCCTTCTGTCGCTGACGGCCCCTCACCTGCCGCGTGCGCTGGGTGCCAGTCTCGCCTTGGACGTTCCGGGAGAGCTGACAGAATGGAGAAGCTCCTAAGTGAGAGGCCCTTTGGCTTGGCCCCACCCCTCAAGCCCCGCCTACCTACTCTGTGCTCAACCTCCTGTTCATCACACTGTCTTTGAGACAGTGTGGCCCAAGAGCCTCCTAGAAATGCAACAAAGGTTAAAAGGAGTAGCACTCTGTAGGAAATAGCCCTGGTTTTGTGAGGTTAGGGGGACGGATTGCGCATCCTCTGCTTTCAAATTGTCTGCCTCTTTATTTCCTTGATGCCCAGTTCTTGAGATCTTCTTCTTCTATTTCTGTGATACTGGGAAGGATGTGAAGTACAAATTGCTAGGGTGGGGGTCAGTGGGGAAAGTTCTGAAGATTAGGCTGGAGATGCCAGAGCTGGGCCAGAGACCAGCAGATGTGAGTGTGTTCCTGGAGTCTCCAGGGAAGGGTGGTGCTCAGGGCAGCGATACCATGAACATAGGCTTCCAGTAGTTGGCTGGGTAAGGGGTGGCATGGACTGTCCCCACCCTTACTCCTAGAGAGGAAGGTGCTGGGGACAGGGCGGCCAAACCAGATGTGACCAGCAGGTGTCAGCACAGCATTGAACCACTAGAGGAAACACGCCCGCTTGCTGTGCTTTGTCGCTGCTACAGGGATGCAGAAATGAAGATAAGTTACAGTTTCTGAAGGAGGCCAAAGTATTTACCATCAAGAATCATCCTTGGGGTGCCTGGGTGGCTCAGTCAGTTAAGCGTCTGCCTTCGGCTCAGGTCCTGATCCCAGGGTCCTGGGATCGAGCCCCAGGTCAGGCCCCCTGCTCAGCGGGAAGCCTGCTTCTCCGGCTCCCTCTGCCCCTCCCCCGCTTGTGCTCGATTTCTCTCTCTCTCAGATAAATAGATAAAATCTTTTTTTTTTTTTTAAGATTTTATTTATTTGAGACAGAGAGAATGAGATACAGAGAGCATGAGAGGGAGGAGGGTCAGAGGGAGAAGCAGACTCCCTGCCGAGCAGGGAGCCCGATGCGGGACTCGATCCCAGGACTCCAGGATCATGACCTGAGCCGAAGGCAGTCGCTTAACCGACTGAGCCACCCAGGCGCCCAAATAGATAAAATCTTAAAAAAAAAAAAAAAAAAGAATCAGACAGCCTTGTCAGGGAAATAAACTTAAGCATATGTAACTACAATGCAAGTCAAATGATGTCATTAACTTAATAGAAATTGGAAGAATAATGACAGTAAAAAGAAGTTTAGATTATTTCTGATAGGAGGGCCGAAGAGGCAGAATGAGAAGGATGGATTCAACTATTTACTAGGCAGAAATGGGGGAGAAGTGCTTCCCAGACGATGGGAATTAGCATAAGCCATACAACAGATAAAGGTAATATGGGGCATACTCAGAAAGTGCTGATTTATTCTGTATGTCTGCAGCCCAGAAAGAAGTGAAGAAGGAAAATGCAGACCGTGGTAGGCTTTAACAGACTTGCTCAAGTGTTCACATTTCTTCTGTGGGCAGTAGGGAGACATTTGGCATTTGGGATCAGCGGGGAGACATCAGTAGCTCAGTGAGAATGGGTTAGAGGCTTCATTAGGTTTTTCGCTGTGGGAGGGCCTGCTGGATCAGGGGTTAGCTTGCTTAAGCACAGGATGAGGCCTGATGAGAGACCTCGGGCTTTGGTGATTTTATAAGAAGTTCCAGCAGAAGGGGAAGGATTGGAACATTGGCTAGGTGGCAAAAGCTGAAGAGTAAAGTGAGGTTCGGAAGTAGGAGCCATCCTCCTTGCATGATGCCACAACAACCGTGGGTCCTGCCTCTTGGGAGACAGTGGTTGAGCCTTGGCCCCTTCCTTACTGCCATCTCTCACCACAGGGTCTAGAGCTGAGGGCCCCTGATACAGCCTAGACTGGGAGATGCTGACGACTCCTTTGAGGAGTATGATGGTAAGGGGATGAAGAGCAAAGCTACTTTCCAGGTAGCTTAAGGGGGTGGGGAGCTGGACTGAGAGAGGGACTATTTTTAGCTTGGGGTTTGAGGACATTTGTAGGCTGAGCTGAAGGAGCAGGTGGAGAGGAATGTTTCCAAAGCGCCAAGGAGAGGGAATGGCTAAGGAGCAAGGTGTGGGGGCAGATGGCAAAGAGCGGACTGGAGTTCCGGAGAGGGAAGTGAGGAGAGATCAGAGGTCATATTTGTTGAGTGCACTCTGCCCCATGTTATGTAAATACCTCATTTAACTCTCTGGTACCCTTATGAGTTAAATGTTGCCGTATCCTGTTTGTTGATTGGAAAAGGCTGAGGCTTCGAGAGATTAAATAACCTGTCCCCAAATTCAAGAGCTAGTTAAATGGCCAACAGAGGGCCTTGCATGATTCCCAAGTCTGTGCCTTTCCTGCTAATTACCTCACAAGACTGTGAGGCAGTGAGTTCGGCCTCATAATGAATGTGGCAGCATTCTACTCCTATATCCTCTGATCAATTCACTGATCCTACATTCTGGGGACAGCCATAGGTGGCACTACCAAAACAATAGGGACAGGAGAGTCCTTTTTAAAAGAAATGCGCAATCTAATTGAAAAATAGGGGAAGTGTGAATACAGGAAGATGCAAATACAGTGATACTTGCTGAATCCAGAATTCTACTACCAATTCCTTATGCATTGACCTCCCCAGCTTCTCCTCGGGTCTGCTCCTTGTCCTCAGCAATATCTGCCCCTTGTATCGGAGCTGTGTTGCAATTCTCTCAGTTCCTCCAGTGCTCACCCTGTGTGGTTGCTGTCCCTCTCTTTCCACCTTGTCCTGTGTTCTAGACTTTCCTACTTCTTGTTTCTCTGCCTGGAACTCTTCCCACACACACCTCTTCCTACTCAGCCTTCAGTCTCAGCTGGATAGTCATTAGACCCCTCTGATATATAGTCCTTTAGAACTGTATACCTCCCTCTTAGAGTGTGGCCCCCTTCACTGTAATTTGTGCTTTTATCAACCGCATCCCCACTAGCCTGTAAATTCCATGAGGGCGGGGATGACGCCTTAGAGCCCGCAGCGTGCCTGGCACACACTCTGCTGAATCAATATTGGCTGAAACAATAAATTCAAAACCCACCCAAGAACTAGGAGATAAGGGGGACGTAGTAGCAACCTAACAGTCACATGTAGTATTATGCATTTAATTCACTCACGGGCAAGTGTTTCTTTTATTTTCTCTTAATCTATACCCATTTTGAATAACCTCCGAACCCACAGCATATAATCAGCAGCAAATTAAAAGAGGAAAGGGGAGCTTTTAGAAGCAAGAGCACTGATAACAATGAAAATTCACACAGATTGGGGCACCTGGGTGGCTCAGTCGGTTAAGCGTCTGCCTTTGGCTCAGGTCATGATCCCAGGGTCCTAGGATCGAGCCCCATGTCTGGCTCCCTGCTTGGGGAGTCTGCTTCTCTCTCTGCCCCTCCCCCCGCTCATTATCTCTCTCTCTCTCTCTCAAATAAATAAATAAATCTTAAAAAAAAAAAAGAAAAAAAGAAAATTCACACAGATCAAAAGAGGGGACTAGGAAAACAAAAAAGGAGACAAATGAAAACTAGCATTTGTGGCCATATATAGAAGAGGAGCGCACAGTATTAAGCATGTATATTCTAGACTTTGCTGTCCTCACTGTTTTCCTGTACAATTAAGTTCGCAGCGCTTCCTCTGAGTAAGGAAACAACTGGTTGAGTGATGGCATCTTTTTTTTTTTTAAGACTTTATTTATTTATTTGAGACAGAATGAGATACAGAGAGCATGAGAGGGAGGAGGGTCAGAGGGAGAAGCAGACTCCCCGCTGAGCAGGGAGCCCGATGCGGGACTCGATCCCGGGACTCCAGGATCATGACCTGAGCCGAAGGCAGTCGCTTAACCAACCGAGCCACCCAGGCGCCCTGAGTGATGGCATCTTAAATGTGTGAAACATTTTTGGATTTACGGAACATTTCTCCTGCATCACTTTACTTGATAGTGTGAGGTGGGCAAGCAGGGAAAGTGACCACTCACAGATGGCAGACTCAGCCTTAGAGAGAAGTGATTTATCCAAAGTCATGCTCCACAGCTCAGTCTAGGTCTTGGTGACCCAGTCACACTCTTCCCACTATCTAATCCACAGGAGATTAACAATACCTTTTGGAATAATCCCTATTTGAAACAGTTAAAATGAAAATGTTTTGCACTCGATTGGGTAAACTTCAGTTATCTGGGACAAAATGCGGAAGGGAACATTCCTATGCTTCTGTTTAGCTGAGGTTGCACCATGGTTAAGCTCAGTACTCTCGAATCATTTTAGGAAGAGAAAGTTCAGTGTCATTTGAAGCAGTCAAGCAAGACTTCAGCCTGACATAGCTGGAAGTAGTTCACATCTTTGATGCATTTTTTTCTTCCTCCACTCACCAAATGCCAGGCATTATGACTAAGTGCTGGAAATACAAAGATAAAAGACAAGCTTCCTGTCTTTACACTGAGTGGTAAAAACCTATGGAAAATCCAAATGGAAATATCCAATAAGCGGTTGTAAAAGTGAGTTTAGAGCTTAGGAGAAAGACCCAGGTTGAATAGCTAGATTTTATGAGGAACAGCACGTAAGTCATTATTTTTTTAAAGATTTTATTTATTTATTTCAGAGAAAAAGTGTGAGCAGGGAGAAGGGCAAAAGGAGAGGGAGGGAGAGAATCTTCAGCAGACTACATGCTAAGCACAGAGCCCATCATGTGGTTCGATCTCACGATCCTGACATCATGACCTGAGCTGAAACCAAGAGTCTGATACTTAACTGACTGAGCCACCCAGGTGCCCCACATAAGTCATTATTGTAACGTTTGGTGTGGGTTATCTTGACCAATGAGAATGTGTAGAGCAAGAAGAGGTGACTAAGGACACGACTCTAGGGAACAGCAACATTTTTTTTTTTTTTTTTTTTTTATTTGAGAGAGAACACATGAGAGGGGATAGGGTCAGAGGACGAAGCAGACTCCCTGCCGAGCAGGGAGCCCGATGCGGGACTCGATCCCAGGACTCCAGGATCATGACCTGAGCCGAAGGC